CTCACTCACTCACTAACTCACTCACTCACTCACTCACTCACTCACTCACTCACTCACTCACTCACTCACTCACTCACTCACTCACTCACTCACTCACTCACTCACTCACTCACTCACTCACTCACTCACTCACTCACTCACTCACTCACTCAATCACTCACTCACTCACTCACTCACTCACTCACTCACTCACTCACTCACTCACTCACTCACTCACTCACTCACTCACTCACTCACTCACTCACTCACTCACTCACTCACTCACTCACTCACTCACCTCACTCACTCACTCACTCACTCACTCACTCACTCACTCACTCACTCACTCACTCACTCACTCACTCACTCACTCACTCACTCACTCACTGACTGACTCACTGACTCACTGACTCACTGACTCACTGACTCACTGACTCACTGACTCACTGACTCACTGACTCACTCACTCACTGACTCACTCACTCACTCACTCACTGACTCACTGACTCACTGACTCACTGACTCACTGACTCACTGACTCACTGACTCACTGACTCACTGACTCACTGACTGACTGACTCACTCACTCCCTCACTCACTCGCTCGCTCGCTCGCTCAATCACTCACTCACTCACTCACTCACTGACGCACTCACAGACGCACTCACTCACTCACTCACTCACTTACTCACTCACTCACTCACTCATTCACTCACAGTCACTGACACCTACTCACACACTTTCAAACATACTCTCACTGACACACTCTCACTGACACACTCTCACTGACGCACTCTCACTGACACACACACACACACTCACCCACACACGCACACACTCACACTGCTTTTTGCCTTGGTTGACCATCGTTGGTAAAGTGCTGGAAGCATGTGATGCTGCCATGCTCCTGACATTGCTAGTTTGTTTGCCGACTTATTTCTTTCCGAAGCCTTCGCATCATACGAATGAAGTCCTCGCTGGCAAGCTTGGCCGTCCAGCCCAAACTGTCTCGTAAAGGTTGATTACTTTCATGAGTTATGTTAGGATTCTCACCTTTTCCCTGCTTTGCTTCATTTTTTGCGCGCTGGCTCAGGATTGCCATGACTTGTTTCGCGGCATGCTGGCTCCAGTCACCCCGGAGCGGGTCTGACCTGCAATTGATAGGGCGATCTGGCCAGAGATGGTCAAACCAGGCCGCCGAGGGTTCCTCTCAGATTTGGATGTGCGTTTTCTTGCGATTTTTTGGGGTCAGTTGAGGGAATGCTTTCAACAGAGAAGACACATTTTTTGGGCACCCCCTATTTTGATTCCACTCAAGCAGAGGGCATTGATGTGCCTGTCAGGCCAAGATGCCAGGACGGGGGACAAGCAACACACAATTCTCGAAACAATCGAGCTGAGCGACGAGCCTTGGCGCAATAGATGTGCTTCCAAGTTATAGCGTGCCAAATTGAGGCAACTGGCTGCTCCAGTTTCTTCTGTTTCGGTTTTTGCATGACCAAACGCTGCTTTGTGACGCCTTTCACTGCACTGCAATTCAAGGACAGCGACGATGAGTTCAACTACGAGGCCGGACTCTTCCAGACAGCCCGATTCTACATGGACTCTCGCTTTTTTTCCAAGTTGCAGGAGCTGCCGGAAGATCCTGAGCTGCTTGAACAGGACGACGAGGAGCGGGTAGATTGCAGCCCTACTTTTTTTCCGGACCTTCCGTGCCAGGAGCAGCTGGATGACATCAACCGCCTCTTGGCGGAGACGAAGCAAGCAGCGGATGGCCAGGCACGCGGACACGCGCTTACTGGGTAGCTGGGGGTTCGCTGCGCCCTCGGCAGGGCGAAGACACTGGGCTTGCCAAGGCCCGCATGAAAATCTTCTCGCGAGCTGAAGACAAGTCAGCTGTGATTTGGGGCTGGCTGAGGTCCAACAGCGGCCGCAAGTCATCGATGACTTCTTCCGGAACTTTCTTTTGAAGTGCGGCCTTGGCTCGTTGTGCTGCTCGTTCGGCGCGTTGCCAGCGGCAGGTACAGCATGAAGCGCTCCCTGGAAGTGTTTCAAGCGGAATGGTATGAGATGCAGCAGAGCGGCAAGTTTAAGGAAAGATGGCCGCCATGGGCTTTGAAGTATTCATTTGCTAATTCTGTTTTTGGCCATGTGGTGCGCAGCAGCATGTCGGCGCCGGAATCCGTGTAGGACTCCGAGCTGGCGGTTGTCCCCGACGTTTACACGCGCAACCACGGATTTCAACAAGAGGCACGAGCTGTAACGAGGCGTTTGAGTGGGGGTTGTGCCTGAAACGCGGCTTTGCGTTTGAGGTCCTGCTTTTGCGTGAAGAGCTGGAAAAAGCCCGCATGGTGGCCGCAAAGGCTGGCCTCCGGCTGAGAAAACGGAATCCCTCGCTGGGCGCCGGGGCCGTCCCATTATTGGGGGTGTGTTCCCTCCAATAGTGATGAATCCCCACTACAAGGGGACACCCCCCCATTAATCAACCAGGGGTTATTAATCCGGGGTTAACATTAAGCAAA